AACTGCCCGATCACCATTGTTAATGGAAAGATCTACATGGGGGACTCTCTGAGGCGACCTGAATCTCCATTGAACAAATGATACAGCGTGCCGGTGTCACCAGTATTCTATGGCCGGAGAAGACGGGACGACGGCGCAGGGTTGCGTCAAAGGGGAATACGCCATTCCGATCCCTACCCAACCCCCACCCCCCTCATCACCCCCAAATCTACAGAGAGAAGAATCTTTATCTACACAGAGCAATGCCGACATCTTCTATACGGCTCACGATGACTTCTAGAAGGACAAGTCCAAGCTGATCCGCACCAGGAAGGTGAATATGGCCGCAGGATGCCCCGCCCACCCCAAAACGTTTTATCCAACCAACCATCACCTCTCATCCAATCTCTATCTCTATCCATTCGCCTACCAACCTTCACCTATGATTGCCGAATTCCATCTACCGACCGGCCTACCTTCCGCTATTTCCCCATCCAAACACATCTCCCTTCATCTCTCTCTCTCTCTTCCTCCATCTCGCTCTCTCTTCCTCCATCTCTCTCTTTTACATCGTTCTCCAGAAATATCCGACCACGCACGTGACTCCTCCTCCTGATTATCAAGAACCATCTTCTCATTTCTGCATCTACCAATCAGAACCGGAGCAAAGAAATCGGGAACATCGGAGCAGTTTTCTTCTTTTCTAGACTCGGAAAGTGAAACCGGGACGGAAATATCTCCACATGTGTCCCCCTCTCTGGAGGTATCTAGAAGTATCCCCCGATGTGTCCCCCTCTCTGGATGTATCTAGAAGTATCCCCCGATGTGTCCCCCTCTCTGGGGGTATCTAGAAGTATTTCCCGATGTTTCCCCCTCTCTGGGGGTATCTAGAAGTATCCTCCTCTCTGGGGGTATCTAGAAGTATTTCCCGATGTGTCCCCCTCTCTGGATGTATCTAGAGGTAACTCCCCATGTGTCCCCCTCTCTGGATGTATCTAGAGGTAACTCCCCATGTGTCCCCCTCTCTGGATGTATCTAGAGGTATCTCCCGATGTTTCCCCCTCTCTGGATGTATCTAGAAGTATCTCCCAATGTGTCCCCCTCTCTAGATGTATCTACACTATCTCCCGATGTGTCCCCCTCTCTGGATGTATCTAGAAGTATCTCCCCATGTGTCCCCCTCTCTGGATGTATCTAGAAGTATCTCCCGATCTGTCCCTCTCTGGATGTATCTAGAAGTATCTCCCGATGTTTCCCCCTCTCTGGGTGTATCTAGAAGTATCCCCCGATGTGTCCCCCTCTCTGGATGTATCTAGAAGTATCCTCCTCTCTGGATGTATCTAGAAGTATTTCCCGATGTGTCCCCCTCTCTGGATGTATCTAGAGGTATCTCCCGATGTGCCCCCTCTCTGGATGTATCTAGAAGTATCTCCCCATGTGTCCCCCTCTCTGGATGTATCTAGAAGTATCTCCCCATGTGTCCCCCTCTCTGGATGTATCTAGAAGTATCTCCCCATGTTTCCCCCTCTCTGGATGTATCTAGAAGTATCTCCCGATCTGTCCCTCTCTGGATGTATCTAGAAGTATCTCCCGATGTGTCCCCCTCTCTGGGTGTATCTAGAAGTATCCCCCAATGTGTCCCCCTCTCTGGATGTATCTAGAAGTATCCTCCTCTCTGGATGTATCTAGAAGTATTTCCCGATGTTTCCCCCTCTCTGGATGTATCTAGACGTATCTCCCGATGTGTCCCCCTCTCTGGGTGTATCTAGAAGTATCTCCCCATGTTTCCCCCTCTCTGGATGTATCTAGAAGTATCTCCCCATGTGTCCCCCTCTCTGTACCCCACAACTATACACTGATGTACTAATACACAACACCTCACAACTATACACTGATGTACAACTACACAACACCCCGTGACTGGTCACCTCTGTACAATGTGCTCAACTACTGTACACCGGACACAACTACTCATCACATCGCCCAGTGTGACAACCCCGACCACCGGAGTACTGTACAATATACACACCCCGACTACACTCCGCACTCCGAATGTACGCACCCGACCACTGCACCCGCACTGTACGCACCCGGGGCGGTCACCCCACACACAGTGATCACCCCGATGTGCAGATCGGTGCGGGGTATGGATGCGGCCATCACAGCGCTCCGCACACTGCCCGATACATCGAACATAGCGCTGTACTACAGGAACCTCCCTGACTCTGCGCTACATTCACCCCTCAATCCTGCACTGTACTACATACACCCCACATTGTACTACATACACCCCGCATTGTACTACATACACCCCACATTGTACTACATACACCCCTCAACTCTGCTCTGTGCTACATACACCCCACACTGTACTACATGCACCCCACACTGTGCTACGTACACCCCACATTGTACTACAATCTCTCCCCCCAACCCTACACTGCCCTATAAACACCCCCTAACCCAACCCTGTACTACATACACCCAGCACTGTGATACATGCACCCCCCCCCAACTCTGCACTGTGTACAACTTACCCGGCACTGTGCTCAGGCACCAGGCACCTCACACTTTCCTCTGTCGATTCCACACTGCAATCTGATTGGTGGTCTCTGGGCAGTACAGACAGTTTTTACTGCTGAGGCCTGTCACAGGAGAGAGGAGGACAATGACATCATTGTGTGACACAACACAACTCCCTACTGTCACATGGGATGGAGGGGTACTACACACTGCATCGGGGGTAGAAGGGATGGAGGGCCCCTGCACACTGCATCCTGGGGTAGGAGGGATGGAGGGCCCCTACACATTGCATAAGGGGGTAGAAGGGATGGAGGGCCCTACACATTGCATCCGGGGGAAGAAGGGATGGAGGGCCCCTACACACTGCATCCTGGGGTAGAAGGGATGGAGGGCCCTACACATTGCATCCGGGGGAAGAAGGGATGGAGGGCCCCTACACACTGCATCCTGGGGTAGAAGGGATGGAGGGCCCTACACATTGCATCCGGGGGAAGAAGGGATGGAGGGCCCCTACACACTGCATCCTGGGGTAGAAGGGATGGAGGGCCCTACACATTGCATCCGGGGGAAGAAGGGATGGAGGGCCCCTACACACTGCATCCTGGGGTAGAAGGGATGGAGGGCCCTACACATTGCATCCGGGGGAAGAAGGGATGGAGGGCCCCTACACACTGCATCCTGGGGTAGAAGGGATGGAGGGCCCTACACATTGCATCCGGGGGAAGAAGGGATGGAGGGCCCCTACACACTGCATCCTGGGGTAGAAGGGATGGAGGGCCCTACACATTGCATCCGGGGGAAGAAGGGATGGAGGGCCCCTACACACTGCATCCTGGGGTAGAAGGGATGGAGGGCCCTACACATTGCATCCGGGGGAAGAAGGGATGGAGGGCCCCTACACACTGCATCCTGGGGTAGAAGGGATGGAGGGCCCTACACATTGCATCCGGGGGAAGAAGGGATGGAGGGCCCCTACACACTGCATCCTGGGGTAGAAGGGATGGAGGGCCCTACACATTGCATCCGGGGGAAGAAGGGATGGAGGGCCCCTACACACTGCATCCTGGGGTAGAAGGGATGGAGGGCCCTACACATTGCATCCGGGGGAAGAAGGGATGGAGGGCCCCTACACACTGCATCCTGGGGTAGAAGGGATGGAGGGCCCTACACATTGCATCCGGGGGAAGAAGGGATGGAGGGCCCCTACACACTGCATCCTGGGGTAGAAGGGATGGAGGGCCCTACACATTGCATCCGGGGGAAGAAGGGATGGAGGGCCCCTACACACTGCATCCTGGGGTAGAAGGGATGGAGGGCCCTACACATTGCATCCGGGGGAAGAAGGGATGGAGGGCCCCTACACACTGCATCCTGGGGTAGAAGGGATGGAGGGCCCTACACATTGCATCCGGGGGAAGAAGGGATGGAGGGCCCCTACACACTGCATCCTGGGGTAGAAGGGATGGAGGGCCCTACACATTGCATCCGGGGGAAGAAGGGATGGAGGGCCCCTACACACTGCATCCTGGGGTAGAAGGGATGGAGGGCCCTACACATTGCATCCGGGGGAAGAAGGGATGGAGGGCCCCTACACACTGCATCCTGGGGTAGAAGGGATGGAGGGCCCTACACATTGCATCCGGGGGAAGAAGGGATGGAGGGCCCCTACACACTGCATCCTGGGGTAGAAGGGATGGAGGGCCCTACACATTGCATCCGGGGGAAGAAGGGATGGAGGGCCCCTACACACTGCATCCTGGGGTAGAAGGGATGGAGGGCCCTACACATTGCATCCGGGGGAAGAAGGGATGGAGGGCCCCTACACACTGCATCCTGGGGTAGAAGGGATGGAGGGCCCTACACATTGCATCCGGGGGTAGAAGGGATGGAGGGCCCCTACACACTGGATTCTGTGGTAGGAGGGATGGAGGGCCCCTACACATTGCATCCAGGGGTAGAAGGGATGGAGGGCCCCTACACATTGCATCCGGGGGTAGAAGAAATGGAGGGCCCCTACACATTGCATCCTGGGGTAGAAGAGATGGGGGGCCCCTACACACTGCATCTGGGGGTAGAGGGGATGGAGGGCCCCTACACATTGCATAAGGGGGTAGAAGGGATGGAGGGCCCCTACACATTGCATCCGGGGGTAGAAAGGATGGAGGGCCCCTACACACTGCATCCTGGGGTAGAAGGGATGGAGGGCCCCTACACATTGCATCTGGGGGAAGAAGGGATGCAGGGCCCCTACACACTGGATCCTGGGGTAGAAGGGATGGAGGGCCCCTACACATTGCATAAGGGGGTAGAAAGGATGGAGGGCCCCTACACATTGCACACTGCACTACTAC